AGCATAAGTTGGGAGAAGAAAACAGATTATATTTTCCTGTTTTCTTCTCCTAAAAAATTGGTGCGTCTTATGGAAAGGTGCGTCTTATGGAGCGAAAAATACGGTAATTATTTAACAGCAACCAGAGTTTATTCTAAGCATTTTTCCTGTACTGCACAAATAGATACTGTACATGGATATTGTAACTGGAAGAAAGAGAACAGGAGATGGAAATTACTAGAAATGAACAGCCAGGAAAGAAGGGAACAGATCATGGACTCTTCAAATATAAAATAAAATAGCTCAACAACTATACAGGTTAGGCATCCTTCAGTCTTGAGAGACTATGGTAATGTGCTCTGAATAGAGGACTTGGAACTATCTAGTGTGGCAGAGAAGGCCAATTCGAGAGTGACAATCCCTTCCACACTGGAGACAAATCCAATCTGTCCCCTGTCCAGCTCCCTGATTTTGCTGCTTGCGGGACTGCCTCTTTGCCTCGCCCTGCTGGACAAGTGCCTCTTCAAAATGCGAGAGGCCATGCTGCACCGCTGCCTCCAGGCTGAACGCTCAGATGTCAAGGTTTCTCAGCTGTTGAGGTCCATTCCTAAGGCCTTCAGATCCCACTTCTAGATATCCTTATATCGCAGCTGTGGTCTCCCTCTAGGGCCCTTTCCCTGCACTAATTCTTCATACAGGAGATCTTTTGGAATCCGACTGTCAGCCATTCTCATGACATGCCCGAGTCAATGTAGACGTCGCTGTTTCAGTAGTGTATACATGCTAAAAATTCCAGATCGTTCCAGGACTTATCTATTTGGAACTTTGTCTTGCCATGTGATACCAAAAATGTGTTGGAGACAACACATATGGAATGTGTTCAGCTTCCTCGCCTGCCATGCACAAAGAGTCCAGGACTCACTGCAGTACAGGAGTGTGCTCAGGACACAGGCTCTATAGACCTGGATGTTGGTATATGTCATCAGCTTCTTATTAAGCCGTAATGTACTCTCTTTGTGAGTCGAGAGAACATGGTAGCTGCTTTGCCAATGCATTTATCCAGCTCAACATCCAAAGAGAGTGTGTCAGAGCTCATTGAGCCAAAGTACACAAAGTCATGAACAACTTCCAGTTCTTGTGTAGAGATGGTAATAGAGGGAGGCGAGTCCATGCCCTGGCCCATGACTTGTGTTTTCTTCAGCCTGATTGTTAATCCAAAGTCTTGGCAGGCCTTGCTAAAGCAGTTCATGAGTTGTTGGAGGTCTTCAGCTGCGTCATCAGCAAAGAGGAAGTCCCGCATGCATTTCAGCTGGACTTTGGTCTTCACTCTCAATCTAGAGAGATTAAAGAGATTTCCATCTGTTCTAGTCCATCTGATCTAGTATGGGGATAGACACCTTATGTTGCAATTCCAGAAGCGTGCTTCAGCATGACAGCAAAAAAGATTCCAAACAGGGTCGGCGCGAGGACACAGCTCTGTTTCACTCCACTTTGGATATCAAAGGGATCTGATGTTGAGCCATCAAAAACTACAGTGCCCTTCATTTCCTCATGAAAGGACCTGGTGATGTTAAGGAGTCGAGGTGGACATCCCCTCTTAGGAAGTATTTTAAAAAGGTTGTCCCTGCTGACAAAATCAAAGGTCTTTGTAAGATCTATGAAGACCACAAAGAGTGGCTGTCATTGTTTCCTACATTTCTCCTACAACCGTCTGAGGGAAAATACCGTGTCAGTGGTGGATCTAATAGCTCGAAATCCACACTGTGATTCTGGATAGACTCTGTCTGCAAACACCTGGAGTCTCTTCAGCACAACACAGGCCAGCAGCTTCCCTACAGCACTGAGAAGAGAGATGCCATGGTAGTTAATGCAGTCGCACCTGTCTACGTTGTTCTTATACAATGTGATGATGTTTGCATCTTTCATGTCCTGTGGTACTCCACCTTCTCTCCAGCAAACACAACTATAGAATTGCTGTCTGTAATAAGGAGCATGTGTATTGTTCAAGGCAGACCTTAGTAGTAACTTCAGACAGCAAAGCAATAGAGATGGCAAATGTCTGTTCCCAACCATCAGCACTTCAGGAGGCTCTGAAAGTAGCCACTATTGCAACCAGCTGCCCAGATGTCTTGACTTCTAAGAATCCTAGGAGCCAAGACATTATGGGGATTGTACACAGGTGATTTTCCTGGCCACTGTTTCGATAGACGTGTTGACTTTGAAGGAACAGTCACCTCAAGAGAGAGCCAGTCCTGGATGAGAGGTGTGTGGCATTCACTGACCATGGCCACCACCAGAGCCTGCCATCATCCATACTTGTCATTTTGATTACCATCTCTATCACCCTGGGTTGCTGGCTTTGGCACTGTTTTTGCCAAAGGCCATCTGGCAGCTGCTTTATAAATGCAAGGATGCATGCGTAAAAGAGAAGCTCAGGTTGTTGCTGGCATTATTTACAACAGTGTTTGACATAGGGCCATGGCAGAGACTTACAATATCAGTGTATCTGACTGGTCATCAGTTTGTTTGGAGAATTTGTGTCCATGAAGTGCACCCTTGCACTACCCTTCGAGTGTGTTAAGCCTGGTAGCTGAGGCCTCACCTTTGAATCAGTCAGCTGGAGTCTTTGTGAGCTTGGGCTCCAGTCAATATAAACTGAGAACAAAATTCGAAGGTTTGGAGGAGTGAGGACAAGGAACTCGCAGGTCCCTCAGACAGAGTTGGTGAGAAAGTTGGGAATGACTTTTCTGAGCTCTGTGTAGAAAGAACTGTACAAGTTTCTCTAAAGAGGTGAGGAAGAAATAGCCATTCAAGACCTGAAGGTAACTAACTGTTGGAGCCAGTTTGTGGCAGTTCTTGCTGGCTGTGACAAGCAGAAGGCAAACTTTATGTTTAACTCTGTTTATGCTATGTTATATGCCATCAAGCCAGAACTGATTTATAGTGACCATAATAGGGCTTTCAAAAGTGAGATACTTAAGGAGTGGTTTTATCAGTTCATATAGGGACGTAGTGGTGCTGCGGGTTAAACCGCAGAAGCCTCTGTGCTGCAAGGTCAGAAGACCAGCTGTCGTCAGATCGAATCCATATAACAGAGTGAGTTCCCATCGCTTGTCTCAGCTCCTGCCAACCTAGCAGTTCGAAAGCATGTAAAAATGGAGTAGATAAATAGGTACCACCTCGGTGAGACAGTAACGGTGTTCCATGTTTAGTCACGCTGGCCACGAGGCCACGGAAACTGTCTTCGGATAAACGCTGGCTCTATGACTTGGAAACAGGGATAAGCACTACACCCTAGATTCAGACACGACTGGCCTAATGTCAAGGGGAACCTTTACCTTACCTTTATCAGTTCTGCTCCACAAGCAAGTGTCCATGGCTGCATGGGGAGTCAAATCCAGGCCTTTTGCTTCTTTAGGCTGTTTTGAATTTGCTGGTCATGCTTCCTCCTGACTAATCCAAGCTTTCTGACTTGTTAGAAAACCTGGATAAACTAGCTTTTTATACAATGCTGCTTCCCAGTCTTAAGTCTCAATTGACATGAAATGGTGTAGTTGTGGTAGGAACCATATGAACGCAGCAATTTTGGCAGCTATGCAATGGCTTCTGCAGAGAGAGAAGAGGATGTTTTCAGTCTGCTTTGTTTCCAGCTTATTAAAGTACAGTGGTGCCTCGCATAGTGACGTTAATCCGTGCAGCAAAAATCGCTGCTAAGTGATTTCATCACTATGCGATTTTAAAAAGTCCATAGAAACGCATTAAAACCTGTTTAATGCCTTCCTATGGACCTAAAACTCACCTTAAAGCGAAGATCCTCCATACGGCAGCCATTTTCGCTGTCTCTTAAGCGAGGAATCCATCCCTAAACACAGCGGGTGGCCATTTTTTTAAGCCGGTGGCTATTTTGGAACCGCCAATCAGCTGTTTTAAAATCGTCGCTTTGCGATGATCAGTAAGCGAAACAGGGACCCGATCATTGCAAACCCCATTTAAGCCATCACAATGCGATCGCTTTTGCAATCGCAAAATCTTCATCACTATGCGGTTTCGTTGCTAAACGGAGCGCCCGTTAAGCGAGGCACCACTGTAGCTGTGTTCTGACCAGGCAAATTTGCAGGAGAAATGATTGAAGCAAAGCTACTTTAAAACTCTCTCTCCCCACCCCCACCCCGTGCTGATTCCTCATTCTTTTTTCCTTTGGTTGCCTTGCTGCCCTATCACTAGATTAGGAAGACTTTAAAAGGGAGGGAGGGGAGAAGGGAAGGGAAAAGGAAACCAAGCAAACAGTCAGCAGGTTTGAAGAGGGGAGCAATCAAATGGCAGCCAGTTTCCCTGCTGACCTGCCTCTTTCACTGCTGCTATAGCTGACTGGAATGACTTCAAATAGAGCGGCTACAAACCCTTCCACATGAGCTCAAGCAACCACACTGCCTCAACTGATGTGAATGTATTTGATTCCAAAAAACTACAGATTATGGGAGGAAAACTCAGGGCTGTATCACCTTGACTTTTATGTCATGTAATCAACAGAAAATAATGCTTTCAGAAGAGGTAGCCATAGTAGTCTGTGCTAGCATATCAGGCAAAAACAAGAGAAAAATAAAAAAATTAAAGAAAAATAAATAATGTCAAGTATGCCATAAAAGTCCGAGGTAGTGGACTCGTCTGCAAAACTCACATTAAGATATAGCACTTAGTCTTTGAGGTGCCACAGTGTTTTTCTATCTATTTATTTATTTATTTATTTATTTATTTATTTATTTAGCCTGAGAAAATAATGCAAATCTGACAGTTCCAATCCTGAAGCATTTCCCATATTGTTTGTTAATGTAGTAGATCCCATAGTATTGTTTCAAATTAAGCAGCACGTAAGAAAAGGGTTTGCTTACCAACTGTTTCTTTCCAGGAATGCACACATACAGCTTAGTTATCTTTTACTATCCTTCTGTACAGTTGCGTGGAAATTGATTTGAAAAATCAACTACTGTCAAGCATGTCATAATAAAAATAGTCATACTGCATCTTTTTTTAAATTTATTCACTCGGCACAAAATGAAATACAATTTTTCAAAGCAGATAATGACAGTGACATGGCAAGTTTATGATTTCATGGAATGTTTTGAGTTTAACAATGAAAAAATAGATTCAAGAACAGTTTTTTCACATGCAAGAGGGAACTTGCCTGTACAAAATTACAAATTTTATTACAGAATAATTTGGGATATAATTTAATTATGCAATAGATGATGTGAAATATTCGTTGTACTATACCACTGGGTACAGTAAAGGAGGAATGCTCTCTTATGAAGCATCTTTATTACAAGTGGTTAGAATACACTAGTTATGTAATATACATAAAATAATTAAAATTGTTTAGTTACAACCATGTAAATAGTGTAGTATACATTTTTAAACAACTTTAGAACCTTATTATACAAAGTACATATAAAAGTACTTCATATACAAAGAAAAGTACATGAATGTGCAAAAACCATTTTTCATATGTGGCGTTTTATCAGTCAAAAATGCTGGAAAAATCCTTCATTCCTTTGTTTTTGTTTTGCATTCCAAATGTATTAAAAACAGATGCATTTCCTATTCCACATACAGTGTGAAATCTGTATTCACTAGAAAAAATAGTGGTTTTGTTTTTTAAAAAAGGTCAACAACTTCAGTAACTGAAATCCTATAAATGAAGTCAGTTTGATTAGTTGATACTAGCCCAGTTTGCATGTAACACTGAATCATGGCTTAACATGATTACAAGGATGGGGCAGAGCAAACCTCGGGCTTCTCCGTTTGTTTTTCCTCTTCGTCTCTTGTGATCTAGTTTCAGGGAGAAGACTAGAAGCTTTTGATTCAGTTTTAGATTAACCACAGTCTACTGCAAGTACACAGTGCAAATTGTTGTTGATCAAACTGTGGTTTCACAGTTGCTTTTTTTCACCAAGTAATGTAAAGTATTTGGATATCATGAAAAGCTGCAGTTAGGCTAAAATGTAATGGAAAGCTTTCAAGTTTCTTCCGATGGCCAAACTGGAGGAGGGAGGGAAAGGGTTACTGCATAATTCCGAGGCCCACTGTGACTTCTCCTTGTAATGTTAAACCATAATTTAGCCGTACATGTGAACACAGCCATTAAGGTACAAGCAACATTACTAAACCTTAGAAAATACTGACTAGTATATACAAACTCTGACATATTTTTGACATTTAACATATTAGTATCTCAACAAAAACATGGCATTGTAATTATCCAGAGACACCACACTCAAAACTCATCACAGGTTTCAGCAAGTGAAACCTGTTTTAAATTTGAATTGTATAAAACAAAACAAGAACAACCAACATTCTCAAAGATTTTTTATGATAAACACATTAGTAAACGTAAAAAAATCTAAAAACATTCTTCCAATTTGTGTGCAAAAACGTTTTTAAAGTATCAAATCACACCACACAGAGCCCAATTATGTACATATTCAATATATGTAGTTGCTGTTATCTAGCTAGTATTTTGCTATAAATAATTTATTTCTGTCCTTCAAAATGTCTGTTTTCAAGGATTTCAGTGCAAGTGTTTGTTTTGTTTAGTGCATTTATCATTGTGTTATATCTTACAATGAGCAGTACACCACATAAGTTACTATACAACTTCTATATTTCTTAGGCTTTTCTCTTTGCCAAGGTCTGATTTTTACCAGGTTCCTTTTCTTGTCCGTGTTGTTTTTATTTCCATCAATTTACTGCAACAGGAAAAGAGAATACAACGCAAAAAAACAGTGTATTCTTTAATCAATGAATGCCTAGTTATTTTTGGACACAAAAAGACCAGTAAATAACTAGCAGAAAATAAATAATGTTTCCATATTTTTGCTTTAAGTGCCTTAAACTTTCGGAATGCATTATTTTCAAAATGTATAAGGCTCTGAAGATTGAATAATGCTGTCCCAGAAAAACAACTGAAAATGAATTCCTACCCTCCCCCAAAAAAACAATAACATTAACTAGAAAAATATTGGGGGAAACAGGTAAGAAACATTCAGAATTGTTCTAATGTAATAGCCCTGTGTTTAGAAAAAGAAAGGTTCTGTGTTTCTCAGTGGAATCCTGCCAGATCACTACGCTTGGAGCTGACTTATAGAAGAAAGTTTTCCACACAGAAGTTACTGATTTTGAATGTCTGCCACATGGAGGAAGAGTTATTATATACAAGTGATAAAAATAAGGAAAGATGATGCTTTGAATATAAGGTTGAATTATAAGGCTGCTTGATTTGCAGGGACAATTCTTCTTGCAATACTGACGTTTCTCATGGATACTGAAAGTGTTTCCTTTCTACTGTTGGCAGCAAAATTCAGATTTCTTTTTATGCGTCTGAAATGCAGCTCTGTATCCTGTCCATCCATTGCTGTGCACTTTGTGAATCTTGGGCACAGAAATTGTATACACGTTTACTTGTCTTCAGCTACAACATGAAAAGAGATTTAAAAATGTGTCTTTAAAGCATTATTTAGAGAGTAGTACAAGCCATTTAATGATTCATGCAGGACACAAATTTGCTGTTTGTCAGTTAGATATCCTCTAATGCAGAGGTCCCCAACCCCCAGTCTGCGGCCCAGACCTCCCGCCCCCCCTCCGCACGCACTCACCCCTGCACAGGTGTTTTGCACCTGCACATGCCTGTGCAAGCACTCCCCCACCCCTTCGTGCATGTGCATGAGAGAGAGTGCCCGCCCCCAGCGCCGCACCCTTTGCACATGCACACAAGCGAGCTCCCATATGAGCACTGCCATTTACGCATACGCATGAGCGCCTGCATGAGCACCCTCCCACTCCTTTGAACAAGCATGCATGTACACAAGCACGGGGTGCCCCACCTTCCCCAGCCAGTCCGTAGGGTTAAAAAGGTTCATATACATGTGATATATACATGTGATATATTCACATGTTGAAAAGGGAGACGTTATCTATAAATATTATTGCTGTTTTGATGGTTTCTTAAGAGGTGGAAAGGGAAGATAGCAAGGTTGTTGATTCTTTATTTTATGTCCTGCTGCATTTTTTCCCACAGATAGCATTTACGGTGGGACTGATCGTTCTTAATGGCCACTTTAGTGAAATGTTTGCAAAACTGACAATTTTGAAGCCGTTGTCCCTCACTAGAGGCAGTTTGAGTGTCCGTCTAAGAGAGGGATTTCATTAGTGCTAGTGGTACACCTATTAAACCAGCCTTCACGGCATCCTTTACTCTCGAGAGACTATGGTGACGTGCTTTGTATGGAGGACTCTGACGCTGTATGCAAAGCTGGACTGTTAGGGTACATGGAAGGTGGGAAGCCCTCAAGGTAGTGAACAAATGAGATAACCAGTTCGGGTTTTTTTTAAAGAACATTCGTGATGAAGGATAGCAGTGATGAAGGAAAACAATGACAGGTGAGGAGAAGATGGATGAGAAGCTAAGGTAATTTTTTTTAGGTGGGGGAGGAAAAGAAATGACCCAAAAAGTCTTTCTTAAGTGGCAGCTGAAAGGAACTGAGGATTCGCCCCAGGGTGGGTAGAGCAAGTGCAGGGCAGGGAGTCCGTTTAACAAACTTTTTAGGCTCAGGAATATTCCGATGGAGTTTTGCGCAGGTGCAGAAAGAACCCATATATGTGATTCACTGAGACCATGAAGAAGAACGCAAGGGACTTTTGAAAACAATGCCTGGAAAGGGGTAATTATTTGCGATGTGAAGAATATTGCTCTACAGTGATCTTTGTATGCTTATAACTATGGAGGAGGGGATAGATTTATTCTGACTGCTTCTACTTCACTTCCTAGGGAGAAAATGCTACACCACTGCTTTTCAACTTTTTTGCAAGTGCTATGGCTGATCTTCTGAAAGTAGTTCACACTACAGGTCTGACCCGATGTTCAGCAGTTCAAGCTGTTAGGCTTTCACATTCCAATATGTAAAAATGTCTGGCTTGAGTGTGGGTGGTTTCCCTGTCTGTGCCCCTGGGCTTCTAAGGCTTCCAAAGGTAGAATAGCTACTTGTAGAAAGTTTTTTATTTCTTTATTTTATTTTTATTTCTCCTTCCTCAGAGCAGGGTGGGGCAGAACAGGAGGAATGCAAAAGTGAGGGCAGCTATCTCTGGTGGCTCCTAGTTCTGCTTTATTTATTTTTACTTCAGGTTCATGAAAAACATTTTAGACATTTCTGCCTAACACTTGCCTACTAATGGGTAGATAAAGAGATCTGAAATATTTTGAATCTAATAGCAGCATATACTTTTTTTGCATCCGGTGGCTAAAATCCTATTGTGCAGCTCCACATGCAGAATGGTGATCATGTCATCATCAGCAACAAATTCTCACTGACTAGAGACTTCCTTTGGAGGAATGTCATTATGCCATGACTCCGTTGAGTTTAATCCATGGCATGAGTTGCATTTATTCAGTGGTGATTTCTCTTTGATCAGTCTTAGTTGCTACTGCCATAATCTCTTTTGTGCATGTGAAGCTGTGCAACAGGCTTTCAATCCATATATTGTATGTCAATCAGATCGGAGCACAGCCTAAGCAGTAGAAAGGAGGTGATTTTATCCACTTTCAGTATATTTAATACATGCATATTAAACCAGGTAACTCAGGATTGTGGTTAGGTGAGGGCTGTCTTTTTTCAAATCAAAAACTATGGGATCAGGAGAGGGAGGAAGCACATGTGAAGCAATTTGAAGCAATTCAAGGCTTTCTGGCAATTTACTTACATCAAAGAATGCCCTCTCACTAGCATGCTTTGGTGCCCCAAGAGTCGGTGAAGCAGGTATTACACTTTCGACTTCTGCAAGGTCAATATGCCCCTTACAGCATGCATCCTCCACAGAATCATAATATCGTAGCTAAGAAAAATAAATGAAATGTTTAATATATTATGAAGAGCAACAATGAGCAATATCTAAGACTGCCCTTTCAAACATCAAACAAAAAATTAAGTTGGATGAAGTGAAAGTCACAATAATCTGAAGGGGAAGCTTTAAAGTATATGTCAATGTGGGCAAATGCTGCTTATGCATTCTGCAAATATATCTTCCAATCTCAGTTCTTTAAATTTCCTAAACATACTTTGATAGATAATTATTTAAAAATGAAAGTATGTTGATCCTTTGTGCACAAGGGGATGCAGAGATATCTAAGAATTTAAGTTACTTCAGTATATTTTAATTACTCTGGAAAGGGCATTCAGCAAACCATTTGGATCAGCCCAGAACATGGTCTTGACTGGAAAAAATCATCAATCAAAAGCCATCTCACCTCCACAGAAGAGATAATAAATACAAATTAGATAGTTGCTACAATCTCAGGAGCTATACAAAGGGACTCTGAATTGAGAATGAAGATTAATTGTACTGTGAAGAAATATTCATACATAATTAACCTGCAGAATTTATAGTGTTCAGAGATAGATGCTATGAACAATCAAGAAAGAATTTATCATAAATCAGCCTTCTTCAGACATATTACAACACTCGCTGAGGGCTTTTTCAGCATCTTTTACTGATAATCTCTGCAACATGAATATTTTCTCCTCATATAACAATGGATTGTGCACTTTGTTGAACTTACTTGCAAGACCTTTCATATAGAAATAATAGGTGGCTTCTAATTATGTTCCTCTGCTGACAGAATGGGACCTGCAAGCCAAAAGGATTCCACCCTAATGTACGTCCTCCAGATTTACATTTGAGGACAACCTAACCTGGAGCAGACTTTGGAGCATCAGGAGAGGAGAAAAGAGGAAAGGACTGTTGCCATTTATACATTGTGGAGTGTAATCCACTCATGTATTTTACCTGGTGTTTGGTAACATCAAGTACAAACCAACGTGGTTTCCAGCCTTTTAGCAGAGCTCCTCTTTTGTAAAGTGTACCTTCAAATGACCTGGAAGAAAATACATATGCAGTTTACTCTGAACTATGTTGTACCATTAAAGAATGCTCGTATACTAATTGTTGGGTTTATATACTTAGTTAAATTTAATTGATAATAAATAGTTAAGTACCACATAAACAAATTATCTATTTATTTCTCTATATGGCATTACAAAGAAACAATTTTTGTCTCACTTCCACTGCATCTGTTTAACATACTTAGAAGATTATTAAAGCCGGCTGGATAGCTCAGTGCCTTAGGTACTGTATCTGACTGCAGAGCTAGAGGTTGGGAGTTCAGTTCCTCACTGTGCCTTCTGGGAAAAAAGATAGCCTGTGTAGGGATGAGCAAGCTGCACAGCTCCAGGACACTCCCAGAAGGGCACGGTAAAGCACGTCTAAGTACGCTCTACCTAGAAAACCCGTAAGTCGGAACTGACTTGATAGAACACAATTATAACAGACTGGATGACTCAGTGAATTAGGTATCTGGCTGTGAAGCCAGAGGTTGGAGGTTCAATTTCCCACCGCACCCTGGAAGAGCCAGCCAGCCTGGGGCAAATTATGCATTCTTAGAGTGTCCCCCAAAGAAGGGAATTGTAAACTGCTACGAAAACCCTGAAAGGGGTTTTCTTAGCAGGGGTTTCTGCATCATAAGGCAGAACTGACTTTGTGGCAAACCAGTTATTATTAAGATCATTATACATGCTTCCATATGTTGGGTCTAAGGTTAATGTCGGGTTAAGGATAATGTGATTTGTGGACAGAAATTTAAAGTACAGAACTTGTTTCAAACATTTCATAATCAAGAGAATTGTATTGGCTGTCATAGGCTGAAATCGTATTGCACTGCTATGCAGAAGGCATAACTTTTTGAGGTGAACTGCTTCAAGTTACGAAATCTCCATTTGTATTTTGTGGACAGAAATTTAAAGTACAGAACTTGTTTCAAACATTTCATAATCAAGAGAATTGTATTGGCTGTCATAGGCTGAAATCGTATTGCACTGCTATGCAGAAGGCATAACTTTTTGAGGTGAACTGCTTCAAGTTAAGAAATCTCCATTTGTATAATGTACAGTGGTGCCCCGCACAGCGAGGTTAATCTGTTCCGGATTAACCTTCGCTGTGGGAAACATCGCACTACGGAACACAAAAAGGCATTGGAACGCATTAAACAGCGTTTAATGCGTTCCAATGCCATAGAATACTCACTGTTGTGCGATGTTTCCCAGGGGCCGGCAGCCATTTTTGCGCCCTCCCCTCGCACAACGAGGGCGCCAAAATGGCTGCCATCAGCTGTCCGGCGGGTCCAAAATGGCCGCCGGAACAGCCGAAAGGGGCCGGGGCGCAGCTTTTTCGTGCCCTTGGTAAGCAAGGGGAGCGCGCGAAAATGCTGCCGGAAGCCCTGAAATGGTTGCGCGCAGCCATTTTGGGGCTTCCGCAGCGTTTTCGCACGCTCCCCTTGCTTACCAAGGGCGTGAAAACGCTGCGCCCCGGCCCCTTTCGGCTGTTCCGGCGGCCATTTTGGACCCGCCAGACAGCTGATGGCAGCCATTTTGGCGCCCTCGTTGTGCGAGGGGAGGGCGCGAAAATGGCTGCCGGCCCCTGGGAAACATCGCACAACGGTGAGTATTCTATGGCATTGGAACGCA